TTATCTGAAAAGGAACTAGACTGTTCAATGGATTCCTGATGTCACACATGTATGTACAATCATGTGGATTCTTAACCTAAGGGTCTGATACCACTCTGTCACGCCCCGGAACAGAGGTCGGTGACATGGAGCTCGATTAGGGGTTAAACGCATGGTAATAAAGAAAATTCCCGACGATCCCCACACTCAATTTAAAATAAATTACAGGACCTATCCACAGGATCTCATTACCGTACATACATGAACATGTAAATACGCATTACATTACATCATCCACAGTCTAGAAATCTAAATATCAGAGTTTACAAATTCTTACATATATCCAAGAGGATGAACACAATCCTCACTTGATCAAAGGGTAGCAAATGATCCAGCTACCTCGCGCCACTCATAGAGTCGCCTGGGAGGGGTTTAATACATTTGAAACATGAAAACTGTGAGCGAAAGGCCCAGTAGGATATAATTTGAAATAAACTTTATAAATAAATAAGTGAGTAAATAAATAAATGGACAAGTAAATAAAATAAGACATTCAGTTCTGACACAACAGCCAGAACCTCACATCATTTTTCTCAAAGGAAATAGAACTGAAAATCACCGTATTACAGGCATCAGCAAATAATTTATATTAAGATAAATTACTTACACAACCACGTGCACAAGCCATATCACCCCTAGGGTTTCGGGTCCTGCCCCCAAGGATGCACTCTCCACATCATATCTTGGCCATCAGCCAGTTTGCCGGTTCGTAAGATCTCTTATCTTAAGAAATCATTCATTAAACTTTTTGAAATTGTTTATTATAATTCCCACGAACTACAACAAGCCATGGGTCCCATGAACTACAACAAGCCATGGTTTTCAAGTATTTTTCTTTCGCAAACAAGCCCCTTTTCTTTAAAACATTTGCAAGGCCAAAACTCCTTTAAAATCAGGCTTACAAGGAAAAAAGGTAAGAAATCCTACCTCGAAAATATCAAACCTGTGGCTAGTGGTGCACTATTCTGGCTTCTGCTTTCTCAAGCCACTCAATCCGAGTCCTCAACTAACATTGATACAAGACAACACTTTAGGATTCAATTTTCATTCCTAAAACAATTCAGTCTCAATTATATCTTTTGATTTCCTATTAGTGTACCATAATTCAATTACCGGTTTCACAAACCATTTCATGTTTCAAATCATCATTCCAAAGGTTTTCAATCTCAAAACATGGATTAAAGATGCTAATCCATCTACTTTAGGTCCCCAAATAAAGTTAATTTGGGTCATCCTCGAAAACAGAGGTCAAAACAACATTTTCAGGCCAAACGAGGTCAAACTCCGTGTACACCGGTCGATCGGTGATAGAGCAGTGCAACACCACCGGTTGACCGGTGGTGTGCAATCCGGTCGACCGGACAAGTCGACCAGTCAGGCCAATGCAATCCGGTCGACCAATGAAGAACACCAGTGTGAGAAAACTCACAAAAATCAGTCTGAAAACCTACAAATCCAGTCCCAAATCACAATATCTCAAGGGACAACCACTAGATCCGGGTTCTAGGCACTTAATCAAGTCCAAAGAACCTAAGATCTCCAATTTCTACCATAGTTTTACTCAAAATCCATAAAAATCCGTTTTGAACCAAAATAAGTTTTTAAATCCGAAAAACATGAGATTCAAGAGAGGTTATTTCAGTAATCTTACCTCGAATCCTTCTCTTGACGTTGAAAACTTCTTTAAATCTTTCCTTGGTTCAAGATCTGGTTGATTTTGAAGCAAAACGGGAGAGAGAGAGAGTGAGTGTGAGAGAACGAGAGAGTAAGAGAGTGAAAGAGAGAGAGAGAGTGCTCGGGAAGGAAAAGGAAAATGAAGGAAAGAAAAGAAAAGAAAAAAGGACAAATGTCACAAGCTTAAAAGACAGTCCAAAAATGTGCCCATACACACTTCTGGGTAAAAGTATAAATACTGAGAATATTTAAATACCTTAGAATTATTTAAATTCACACGTAAGAAACATTCATTAATTAATAACCAATTGATTAATTCAGATCAGGCACACTAATAAATCTCAATTACTTTAATTAGTCTCATTTAATTCTCCGGGGTGTTACAACTGCGTGGCTGTCAGTTTGTCAAATCTCAATGTAATTTCTATTTTAAAATCTTGCTATGAGGTGAGTTTCACTAGTAAATAGATATGATTTAATTTAGTGGGACCCATTACTTTATAAGTGGATTTTATTCTCACAGGATTAATACCAAATTATGTTTTAATCATTGATTGTTTTTCAACATATATGAATTATGGACAATTTTAAGTTGTGCATTGTAATTTTAATACTAACATGCACATATGATTGTTAAGAAATTAATTCAACAATTAAAAATAATAATTTGTAGAGTAAATATACATGTACTACCATATGATTGTCTTATTCTTTTTTATTGTTTTTAAAAATATTTATGCACATATTTTAAAGCATAAAAAGAATATTTTTGTAAATAGTATTTTGGTTAACAAACATTTAAGAAAAGATAAGAGAAAAAAATCATAAGAATGATGGTATGTTTGGTCATAAAACTTAAAAAACAACTTCTTATTTTTTAAAGGGAGATTCTTTGGTATGCCGGTATACCGGTAGATCAAATTTTTCTAACTGTTGGATATGCGTACATTTTGACTTTTACGTGATTTTATGCAGATCTAACGGTTAGAAAACATAACATATCGGTATGTTGATATACTAGAGAAGGTTCCTTTTTTAAAACATAAAACATAATTTGCTCTAAATACAAAACAACGTATTCGGATAAAAAAGAGTTTTCAAAAATTTATTGCCTTTAGTTTCTCTTAATGTAATTTCTAATATGAAGAATTTTTATATCAGTATATATACACAGAGAGTAATCGTGTATTAAGTTTTAATTACCGTATTATTATTAAAAGCATATAATAGCTCAAAAAGATATTTACAAAAAATGACTAAAATGAAAGAGAAAAAAATCTCAGAGAGCCGAAAAAAATATAGCGACACTGTTATTGTTCACGCATTTTACCCCAATAAGTACGTGAACAGTAAATGGATTTTTCAAGATGAAAAGGAAAAAAACATCAAAAGAAAAAAAAGTGAATAGTAAAAAACATTGTTCATAAGGGGTGATTTTCAACCAAAATTACATCGTTTCAACCATTGACATTTCTATATATTGTTATAGATTATAGATTACATATAATCTCTCCTCACTTCTCTCTTTTTCCTAGTTTTCTCTTCACTTTTTTCTTTTTCATTATTTTCTGTTCACTTTTTACGATCGAGTTTTGAATCAATATTGAATTTGATAGGGTATTTTTTTTTACAAATAATAATAATAAAGATAAATTCAATCTATAATTTTCTATAAAAAATGAGACGTCAAATAAAGGTGTGTGTTTGGAGGATAGGTTCAAAGAGTGTTTTCTCTTATAAAAAAAAGTTGAATTTAAAAAATTTTACTACAGTATTTTCTCTCACAAAATTTAAATTCTAGTTCAACCCATCCGGTTTGAACCCACCTTCTAAATGAGTCCTTCATTTTTAAAATTACATCTTGATCCCTTAATTTTTCAAAAAATTATATTTTAACCCTTTTACTTTTACAAAGTTATATTTTGACTCTTTATTTTACATAAAACTATATTTTAATCCCTCAATTATATAAAATTATATTTTAACCCATAATTTTTAATTAATAATTTGAGCCTTAATTTTAAGAAAATTATATTTTTATCCTCATTTTATCTTAAGAAAACAATTATCAAGCACTATTTGTTCTCTAATAATAAAAGATAATAGTTGTTATTCTTATTTCTGAAAACTCGATTTTGAGAGTCGATTTTGCTTAAAGAAATGGAAAATATTTGAAAGTTATTCTCACATTTATAAATTTATTTTCTAAACCTATAATTTTAAACATGTTTTTAAAACATATCCAAATAATGAGTGATTTTCTTGACCTTCAAACCTTAATTAACACGGAAATCATGTACTTTTTTTTGAGTTTTTTTTTTCTTTAGTATAAAGAAGTACAAATTGACGGTCCACAAAAATATGATAACAACCATTAAATATGATCACAAGTTTGTAATAGAATCTAAAATATGTGATTATATATATATTTAAATATTTTTAACATATTTTATCATGTTTAGATTAGGCATGTTCAACTCAAAATTGACTCTTTTTTGTGTGTCAATTTATCCAAATCTAACTCTATTTTTATTTTTCTCAACCATAATTAGTAAAATTCAAGTTATTTTTCGAATCATGTGTAGTGACCCATATTACTAGTTCTATTTCCATCTAACTAAACAGAGGTTAAAGTAATTCAATCGTTCTTTTTATTAATCAAAAAGTAATTCAATCGTTTAAAATGTTTTTTTCATACAAATTTTTTTAAAATAAATAGATTTTTTTTATAAGATTAGAAAAAATAAATCATTGATAATTTTTTATTTTTAACTATTAAATCTGTATTAAAAATTATTTTATATTTTTTTAATTTAATATAACTTTGATCATATACACAATAAAACTCAAATCCCGTTTAATTCTCCGTTTTAAAATTTTAATATAAATTAAAATGTAAAAATTTTTAATGTAATAAAAAAATTATAATATAATTTTTTATATAAACTTTTTATTATAATAAATTAAAATTAAAAACTCAAATAAAAAACTACCCATGCCAAATTATGAAAAAGGTTGCGTGAAATTTTGGCAGTACCATAGACAAAGAACGGACCTTTCCATTTTCCAAAGGTGTCCCCCTTTCCAGTCCTGACCCAAAAAGACAAAGCATATAAAAAAATTAAAAAGAAAGAAATAAAAAGAAAATAAAAAGACGGAACAAACCAGAAACGTGAAAAACATATATTATTATTTTTTTCAGGGAATATATTAAAATAATGTTATCTTATTTATTTTATATTATAGTATAAAATGAAGGTCATCGTCTTCAAATGGGAGGTTTCTTCTTAGAAAAGAAAAAGAATAAACAGTAGAGTTCTGTGAAACCTCGGAGGAATAGAATTTCTACTCTCTTGTTTCTCGTTCTTCTCTTAGAAAACATTTCCTCAACTTTCTTTCCTTTTTTGTTTTTTTCTTTAATATTACTGTAATCATGTCTCAGACTCACTGGGAAGCCGATAAAATGTGAGTTTCATGCACTCAAAATATATATACATATATGTATATTAATATTGTTAACATTATTTTTTTCGCTTGAAATCTTCTTTTAAGTCTTTAGTTTTCTGGGTTGGTCGTCATTTTTGGTCTACTGCTTTTTGTTTTAGTTTTTGGTCTTAGGGTTTTCAGTTCAATTTTTTTTTTTTCCCTTTTTGGGTTTGTTCTTTCCCCCCTTTATTTTCTTGAATGGGTTTTATCTCTTTGTCTTTCAGGGTTATCTTTCTTTCTTTCTTTTATTTTTTATTTTTTAAATTTTTGTTGGGAGGTTACTTTTGGGCGATCTTCTTCTTCTTCTTTTGTTTATTTATTTATGAAACTGTTTGTGATCGAGCTTGAGCTCTGCTTAATGATGATAACCTTTTTAGCTTTTGATCATTTTTCTTTTTCATATGCTTTTTTGTGTAGTTTTTGTGTTTCCTGTACGACTTTTTTTTTTGGTTGGGTCTAGGGTTGTCTCTTTAAGGGTATTTTGTGATGGCCACTATTGTTTTTGTATGTTTCTGAAATGTCCTCTTCTTGTTTGGCATTTTTTTAAAAATTTTCAGGCTCTTAATATTGTTGCTGTTTAAGGAATTCTCATTTTTTGGGTTCTGGGTTTAATTTGTCCTTTTAAAAAAAAAAAATATTTATTGGGACGGACTATGTTATGGGGTGGGAGGGGAGATTTTGGGGTTTTCTGTCATTTGAACCTTTTGAAAACAGGTAATGGGGAATGGGATTTCTTTTTGCACTTGTGTAATTTTCACTATTAGTTTCATATAATAGCCAAAAAAGACAAGAAGGAAAAAAGGGAATTCACCTCAACCAAGTCTTGCTACATTTGGTTGAATATAGGCTTTTCTTTTCGTTTTTTTTTTTTTTTTTTTTTTTTAAGCTAATAAAATGTTTTGCGTGGTTTAGTTCCAAACAGTACCAACGTTAACTTTGAACTCCGTTTTTATTTTTCTTATGGGTGTTTGATTCGTAGTTTAAAGTTTCCATTTGCGTTTTATTTGTGTTTTGCATATTGGACAATGGACGGTCTACCATTGTCAAATTTGCGTTTTTGAACGAATGAATATCTGATTGGTGAAAATGTTTCTGATTCTTTTGAGGTTAGGTTGGATGTGTACATATATGATTACCTTATAAAGAGGAAATTTCATGCTTCTGCTAAGGCTTTTCAAGATGAAGGCAAAGTCTCTGTGGATCCTGTAGGTAAGAGCATATATATATATATATATATATATATATATAAGAGATAAAGATATACTAGTTAGTATAACATTTCCGGTCTGGTCAATTTTTGTATCTTTTCATTGCTTATTTGATTGTTTAAATGTCATGTTCAGCTATTGATGCACCTGGTGGATTTCTGTTTGAATGGTGGTCTGTCTTTTGGGACATATTCATTGCCAGAACAAATGAGAAGCATTCAGAAACAGCTACATCTTTCATTGAGGTTGATGGAATTTTCTACTTTCAGTTTCTCTTGTTTTCGTTTTGTAAATATTATTATTTTTTATTTGTTGTCTTCCCAATGTCTTTTTGGAAATGTCAGACTCAACTGGCTAAAGCTCGAGAACAGCAGAAGCCACAGCAGGTGCCTCCGAATCAGCAGATGCAAATGCAGCAGCTTCTACTGCAGAGGCATGCTCAACAGCAACAGCAACAGCAGCAGCAGCAGCAGCAGCAGCAGCAGCAGCGGAGAGATGGGGGTCAGCTTTTGAATGGCGTGGCCAATGCGCTTGTTGGCGGAAACGACATGCTTATGAGGCAGAGCCCTGCCGCTGCAAGTGCCATGGCAGCAAAAATGTACGAGGAAAGATTAAAGCTTCCTGGACAGAAGGATGCTTTTGATGAAGCTGCTATGAAGGTAATTTTTTCGCAATGAACTAGGGATATGTCTTTTCTTCAGATTATTTCATTTCGGGTATTAATGATAGATTTGTTGCGCAGCAAAGGTTAGGTGAAAACGCAGGTCAGATTCTGGATCCAAATCAAGTGTCATTGTTGAAAGCGGCTGCTTTGGGTGGCCAACCTTCTGGGTAATCTGTTCAAAAAACTGCATTTATCATCAGAATCACGGTTCAGTTGCTTTTTCTATTGTTTACACCCTTTGTCTGATTGGCCTTTTCATATGCATTTTTTGCTTTATGTTCTATTACTGTTGCCTTTCAGGCAAATGCTTCATGGAATACCTGGGAGTATTTCTGGAAATATTCAGCAAGCACAGAATCGAAGCCAGCAACTTCCCTCTGTTCCTGCGTCACCACAGGTCTATTATGTTTTCAGTTTGTTCGTTTCCTATGTGAATATGATTGTAATTGTCTTACCTTAGTATGTCTTGTATGCTATAACAGGATAAAGGTGAGATGATGAACTCCAAAGGTGCTGGTCCAGAAGGATCAATGATTGGCATTCATGGTACTAATTATTTTTTCTTTCCCGCACTCCTCCGTTTCAAAAGTTTTTGTTTTTTGTTTTCCTTTTTTTTTGGGTCTTCTTTGTTCTGCCCTTCTCAGTTAGAGCTTGATTACGAAAAATTGAACTTGCAATTGACTTTGTATGCATTTGTGCTTGCTCGTTTTCACCAACCCCAACCCCACTGCACTCCCCCTCCCCCCACAACCCATTTTCATTTGGTTGCAAAATGTCTGTTGCAACCCTTACTCATAAATGCAATTTAAAGAGGGATTTTTAAAACTTCAATATATTCTTCAGCGTTGTTATTTTAACATTTTTTTTTTTGTCTTCTTTGTTCTGGCCTTCTCAGTGTTCTTATTCTCATTTGTATGATTTTTTTGATATGAAAATTGGTCTTCAACAATTTTGGATCATCATACAGGCCCAAATCAAGGCAGTAACAATTTGACTCTGAAAGGTTGGCCTTTGCCGGTATGTCACAAAACTCCAAATCTGTATTGCTTTTGCATTCTTCATCTATATACCTTTGATGTGGTCATTTTCATAAAGACGAAGTTGGTTAGTCAGCAGTAGTTGATTCAGTGGGCAAATGCATTTTGCTATTAAGTGAACTGCAGGGTTGTGTTTTCGAAACTATAATCCAGCATAGATGGATAAAGACAACTAGCACGCCAGAACCTGAGAAATAAATATGTATCTGGTCAAAACTTGTAAATAATCCTATGTTGGACGTATTGAAAAACTCATTTTCCCCCCTTAACGAGTGTGGAGCAGTATCATTATATTCTGCACTGTGTGCACAGATTGTAGCATCGTATATCGATTGATTCTCGGATAAATTCACGTTGCAAGTGATTTGCTTTTTGTATTTTGAGGACATTTATTTCTTTTTAGGGGCTCGACCGCTTTCGTTCTGGACTTCTTCCGCAATCAAATCCTTTGCTGCAGTCACCTCAACCATACAATCAACTTCAGCAGCAGCTTCTGCTTCAGGCACAGCAAAACTTAGGATCCCCATCTGCCAATGATATGGAAGCCAGAAGACTTAGGATGCTTCTTGGTAATCGAAGTATGAGTTTTGGTAAGGATGGCCAATTAGGTTCTGTTGGCGATGTATCTAATATTGGGTCACCAGTCCAAGTCGGTTGCCCTGTACTACCTTGTGGAGATCCCGATATGTTGCTTAAGGTACAATGTTTCTACATTTTAGGATTGGCAGTTTCTTCTAAGCTTCCCAATATTATTTGCTTATAGATTCATGTATTAGTCACAACATCAACACCTGCAGAATAACAATCAACTGCAGCAACAATTTTCGCAGCAGCATCTGCTTTCAAGTCAGACTCCTCAAAATTCAAACCAGCAAATGCGCCAGCAAGATAAGGTGCTTGGTGCGGGCAGCGTCACAGCAGATGGTAGCATGTCTAGTTCCTTTCAAGGAAATGACCAGGTTTGCTTTCTTCTTAAGTTTGGGTATAATTGTAACATGTCTGTCTGTCTCTCGTCTTTTTCAACTTGATCATATTTGGCACAAATAAGTATTCCTAAAATGCAGATTCATTTCAATGTTCTTTTTATAACTGGGTCAATAAATGTAAAAAAGGAGATAATTTCTGTTCTAATATCTGGCTGTCTCACATGCTTTATGCCCCTATTCTCTCAGTTTTGCTTAGCTTACTTTCCTTTCTCGTTTATTTTAAGATTTAAATCTCAGCATAATGCCAAAGTCGGTTCAGTTTGAAAATTATTGGTTATTAGGGTCCAAAAATTTCCTTATCTTCTTTAGGATTGAGAATTTGTTTACTGGGGTTGGAGTCTCTGATTTGTTTTATCCTCTTGTTTAAGGCTTCAAAAAGTCAAATTGGGCGAAAGAGGAAGCAGCCCGTGTCATCTTCAGGTCCTGCCAATAGCTCAGGGACGGCAAATACCACAGGACCATCTCCCAGTTCGCCCTCGACGCCTTCTACTCAGACACCAGGTGATGCTATGTCTATGCCAACTTTGCCCCATAATGGCGGTTCCTCTAAGCCTCTACTTATGTTTGGCTCAGATGGTATGGGCCCACTTACAACAGCACCAAATCAATTGGTATGCATAACGCTATTCTAATTGGATTGGCAAACTTTAAGTTGTGTTTGTCTCGTTTTTTATGCATCTTTTGTCTTTCCCCTTCATTAATTGGGGCTAACTATGCTTCTTGGTCATCCTAATATTGAACTATTATTATTGTTTTTGGTAACTGGTAGTGCCAACTCCGTCCCCTTGTAGTTAGTCTTGCTCATATTTTTGGAGCTGTAAATAAGTAAATAAACAAAAAGATTTTGTTCTTAATGCAGAGAAAGAAGCAGAGGTTCATGTGTTCATAAGTGGTTTGGAAATGGTATTTCTCCATAAGAGATTTTGAAATGCGAATGAAAACGGTTGAGATTGACTCTTTTTTTATTATTTTTTGTGTGCTGTGTGTGTTCTCAAAACAATAATAGAAGTAACTGATCCATTTTTATTTAGTTTGGTGGCTTCCTTACAGTTTCAAACATTTTAAATCCTGAACAAGTTGAAGGTTATAGGTGTAAGCAATTTCTTAGTTATTATTTCTTAACGTTACCTTTTGCTCAGATAAACAATGATTATTTGATAAATTTAACTATCTTATGAAAGATCGGACACCATTTTTTTCTCCATAAGAATGATCTATGTTCTATATCCCACGTCACTTGTTGAACTAACTTTGTTTTAGAGGTTCAGATTCTCATTGGCAGCTACGTTTCTCTTAGTTTGTTCCATTTCTAATTAAGAAAATGCTATTTTCTTGTTCAGTATTATCTGTAGCAGTTTGTTTGGCAGTTAATAATGCCACTGGGCAATGATTTCAGGGTGATTTCGTTGATGATGGATCTCTAGAGGATAATGTCGAGTCATTTTTATCTGATGATGCTGATCCTAGAGACAGAGTCAGTCGGTGTGCAGATGTCAGCAAAGGTACGATGAATACAAATTTTTATATATTCAAATTGCATGTTGTTATTATTAATGATGCTTTGATATGTATAGAAATTGAATTTAAGGCTAAGATTTTTGTTTTGAACCCTAGGCTTCTCCTTTAAGGAAGCACGGGTTATTCCTGCTAGTACAAACAAAGTTGAATGCTGTCACTTTTCACCTGATGGAAAATTGCTGGCTACAGGCGGACATGATCGAAAAGTAAGCCTTGGGCTAGATTAAAATTGTTCTGCAAAACGTGATTAACATGTGAAATGCTAGTGCTGCAGTTATGAGTTTCTAAAATTCGACCCTTTTTAGTTGGTTCTTTGGCGTTTACAAAGCAATGTAACTTTCTTAACCCTGATGGCGTTTGGTACCCAGGCTCTATTGTGGTGCACTGAGTCCTTCATGATGAAGTCTGCACTTGAAGAGCATTCACAGTGGATAACTGATGTGCGTTTTAGTCCTAACGCGTCGAGGCTCGCCACATCTTCTGCTGACAAAACTGTCAGGGTCTGGGATGCTGACAATGTTAGTGTAACATTTTCTTTCAATCTCATTGAAAACTAGATATTCTGTTTGCTACTACAAAATTGTCAGGTCTCTTGAGCTTGAGATGAATTTGACTTGGTTGTAGGCATTTTCATTTTGTTGGGCCAAGTGATGATAGAAATTAAACTCAAACTCAAATTGAGTAAATATGAAGCAACAAAAGCTGGTGTAAGATGTACTTTTTTGCATGGTTGATATTGGATTTGACAGTTCATGGTTTAATTTTTTTGTTCTTAGGCGCCTATTGAAATATCAATTAATGAATGATTTTTGAAAATTTATTATTATTATTATTATTTTTTGCATTTAACCTCGGTTTGTAAATGTTATTTCTTACAGTTTCTTTTCATTGATTATACTCGGTGAAACTGAGTTGAACCTGTTTGAAACTTTCGCGTGGTTGAGATATGTTTCTGTAATAATTTTGTTGTATTTTTACTCCAGTTCTGTGGAGCTGTCTGTTTGTTACAGAAAAGGATTCTTCTTTTAATGTGCACGGATGAATGATTTTGTTTTGCAGCCTGGCTTTTCTATTCGGACTTTCACGGGACATTCTACAACTGTTATGTCTCTGGACTTCCACCCCAGCAAAGAGGACCTTCTCTGCTCCTGCGATAATAATAGTGAGATAAGATATTGGGGTGTCAAGAATGGTAGCTGTACTGGAGTTTGCAAGGTATAAATCATGCCTTCATTGAAAATCTATCAAACGTCAAGAGCTGGTTTGCTTTAACCACTCTTAGACAATTAACATCACTTTTGCTACTTTTGTTAGGGTGGAGCAACCCAGTTGAGATTCCAACCTTGTTTTGGAAGGATTCTCGCAGCGGCCGCTGACAATTTTGTATCCCTACTTGATGTGGAGACTCAAGTTTGCAGGCTCAAGTTACAGGTTCATTATGAACTTTCTATTAATTCTTATATTATTCAGATTAACTCTTTCCTATAAAGATTGTCAAGTAAATATAATAGATTATGTGCTTGAATGTATGGGTACTTTATTTTGATGGGTTGTCAATTTTTTACCAACATTAATGAGATATTGTTTTTCGTGAGAAGAACTTGTGCTTGAATGGAAAGCTTGTAGAGTCATACACTCCATTGGTGGCCCTTTTTATAAGCAAAATTTCTGGTGCTGGACACTTGTTTTCTCCTTGTTCCCTGTGTTATATTGAAAGCTTCTGAATATGCTTCTCTCTATCTCGTTCTTCCTTATCCTTTTTTTTTAAGTTGTAACTGTTTTTCTTGCATTCGCCGTGCTTTTTTCTAGTTCTGTATCTTATGGATTGTCATCTCAGGGTCACAAAAACCTTGTCCATTCTGTTTGTTGGGATTTATCGGGAGAGTATGTGGCGTCTGTGAGCGATGACTTGGTTAGGGTGTGGAATGTTGGCTCTGGTAGCAAAGGGGAATTTGTCCATGAGTTGAGCTGTACTGGCAACAAATTCCACACTTGCGTTTTCCACCCGACGTGTCCTATTTTGGTGATTGGCTGTTATGAGGCAAGTTTTAACTCACTCTCCTTTCTTTTAGTCTCATTACCAAATGCTTTTCATCATTGATGATTGGCGTAACACACTTTTGATAAACATTAACGTATAAAGATATTAGGGAACTATAAATTGGCTATTGTTTTGATGATCGTGATAGGCAATAGTTAATGAAGTACTGTTTTGTGTAATACTATAACATTGTACGGTGTTAAAACTGTTAAATAGTATTAAGTAGAGAGGACGTATTAAGTTGGAAAATACAAATTCATAGTCGAACATCGTACTATATTAAACAATACAATATAGCCTTCTAATATGGTGTACCATGCCTTCACGGATAAAGAAAGATTACTACTTAGAATTGATGCTCTGTGACAAGCATGATAGGCGTGTTTGTTCTAGTTGTGTGTGTGGAGTCTCATTATCGTCAAGACGTGGAGTTAACACGTATTTTTGTTGCCTTAATTTTACTTATATTAGGGGATACCCGGTTTTGGGGATGAAAGTAGAGAGAAAAACACCCAAGTTTGAGAGGTGCGAGTCGTGTGATTCCTTTGTAATTTTCTTTGCAATTGATAACGTGGGTGAAGCTGTCACATTAAGGTTGAACAACCAAAAATCCTGTGTTTGGGCTTTCTTCTCGTCTTTCTTTTATATTTACTGCCCAAAGCATTAGGAATTTTAATCCACAACACCAATTGCCTTTATATCAATGACAACCAATTATCACGCTCAAAACGCGTTCTTCTTACCGGGTTTTAATTTTCTTGTGGTGAAAAATCTAGACTCTGGAGATTTGGAACATGGCTGAGAACAAAACAATGAGCATCCGCGCGCACGACAAGCTGGTATCGTCTCTGGCGGCGTCAAAGGTTTCTGGTTTGGTAGCTTCAGCTAGTCATGACAAGTGCGTTAAGCTTTGGCAGTGACCGTTTACTTTTCCCTTTTTCCTGACAAAATGGGTAATACTCTCACACTCGCTCACTACACAAGGAAAACAACAGTTGGAAATCAGATATTTTTGAAGTTAAAGACTTTATATAGTTTCTGTATTTGGTACAAAACCGTTTTGTAGATGGTGACGAGGGTTTTTAGGTCTTTATACACCCAGTCCCAGTAACCGAAAAGAAGTTCATCATACTAGAGCTAACAACTTAGTCAAACAAACTTGGAGGAAACATGTGTTTTTTTTTTTTTTTTTTTGTTCAAATTACGGTGGGGGTATAATGTAAAGGTTACTTTCTTCATATTATGTCAGTTTGTGTCTGATCTATAGACTATATATCTCTTTGCTTTCAATATTTTGCATAGACACGTATAGTGATCAGGTGACTGGATGCTGGCTCAAGCGTATATTCAGTTTTGTTATGCCATTACCCTTTTAACGGATCTTTATAATTAAGGTGAATTCTATATTCAGCCACCCAAAAAATAAAAAATAAAAAAGTGGAAGAATTCTATGGTAGTGTATTAAAAAAAGTGCCTTTTATTATTAAACCTCATTTTTGCGATCAAGTTCGGTTAGTTTACCCAAAACGTGTTGTTTCCTGATAATTACAAGTTCAAATATGATGTTCTCGTTCTCCTCTCATTAGCTGTTCCGTCACTCTGTATTTATCATGTCTTTTAAATTTGACAATTTAAGTTTCACCACATGAATGTGAAGCAAGTACTAAAATACTTAATCAATTCATAAGGTATTAAAATTTAATCGGATGGAAGATCAATAAAATTAGAAAATGGGACATCGGATCTTAATTGTGATAAATACACAATCCATATTTGAATCGACGTGTCATGCATGGACATGTAAACTAATTCGCGAGGGTGCCTTTAATTAAGCCTATTACGTCATTAAACGTAAATGGACATGTAAAGAAAGAGAAATTGTAGTAAATAATAGATTTATAAAATTAAATTAAATTAATAGTAGCTTCTAAAATTATTTAAAGTAAATGGTAATTTATTTTGTAAATGTTTTATTTTTAGTTGGTAAAAAATAGTTTACGTGGTAAAAAATATTTATTTATGTGAAAAGATCTTTTTAGTAATCGTAAAAAGAGAAACTACATGGAAAAAAAAAAAATTTAGTCGTAAAAAGAATATTACGTAGTAAACAATTATTTATTTCAAATATATTTTTAAAGTCTACTATTTATTTTAATTATATACTAAAAATCTGTTATTTACTTTATTTTCTTTAAACAATTTGTGGTGTCTTGAATTAAGCCTATTACTTCATTTATGAACAGGACGAGATATTAGACAATTAGCAGATAATTAACAAAGGAGGTGGTTTTCTTATGGGATTGAACTTTTCTGTTTCGAAAAAAATGGGAAGAGGCCAATATTTTAGAAACACAACAAAAAACCTAAAAGGAAGGAAAAAAAAAAAAAAGAGTTCTTTTGGTAGGATTAAGAAAAATAAATTAACAGTACTTTTCTATTTTTCAGCTATTAGATATGTATTAAAAATCATCTATTATGTATACTTTTTTAATTTGATATAATTTTGATCATATTTAACAGTCAAAAATTGATACTACTGATAAAGATGTCTACCGGAAAAAGCCTAAAAAAAAAAAAGTTAGTTGAGCCATTACTATGTCCAAAGATTGGTGGCTATATTGTGAGCCCTCAAACCGAAGTTCAGATTGAACCAAACTGTCTTGTAACGATATGATTTTATTTTATTTTTCAGTCAAACAGTTTGGTTTGGATTTTCTCTAGACCAAAAATTATGTTTTGTGCTGCCGGACCAAACCAAATTATGAACAACTCTATGTGTATTCCCCAAATTTTAAAATTATACTTGCATTTTAACATGTTGATTTGTACCATTCAGTTTACAATTAAAAAAAAAAAAAAAAAAAAAAAAAAAAAAAAAAAAAAAAGTTGATTTGTAACTTAAATGTTACAGTTTATTATTTTTTTGTTGGATTATTATGAATTATGAGCCTTGTGGCACTTTGGTCCTCCAACTTTTCTTTTATTGTTTCTTTATTTTTTTCTAACAATTTTGGCTTATGACAATAAAATTAACAAAGATTACTGAATTTAATAGGGATCGTCCCATTTATAGAAATAATTATATTTATTGCTAAATCTTCTTGTTTTTTTTAAGGTTATTTAAAGAATATTTTTGTACTCAATGCATCTATTTTTGTAAAAATTTCACGTTATGACACACAATTACTCTACTGAATTACAAAAATTTATTGACCAATTTTATGTTTAGGAAAATCATTCAAGGGCTAAAATGTCACAATGCTCCAAAGTCGAGGAAACAGTACAATCTGAAAATTATTGTTCTCTCTAAGATAACAAATATTTTTTTTTAAAGAAAGAAAAAACTATGTCCCAAACATGTATTTGCAAAATGTGTTCATCAATAAGTAAGGGTAGCAATCCAAGTCATGCATCATCAATATTATTATTTTTAATGAACTCAAGTGCCTTGTCAAAGTGTGCTGCTCTGATTTCAAGATACTCTTTCCATGTCACTCCACGATACATGCGAGGACGATCGTCATCAATCATCTGAATCAACGATGATATCTTCTCTTCCTTTGGCGGGCCACAAAAATATGCCACCGACACCCGATGATGTGTCTTGTTCACAACCGCACGATGCATCGCACTCTTGAACCGTCCATTCGACATAATGTGCATCAAGTCTCCCAGATTGACAATGAGTGCACCATCCACTGTGTGGACCGGCACCCACCCAATATCCTCCTTACGCTGGACTTGGAGGCCCATGCAACTTTGGTATAGCACAGTGAGCAATGAAGAGTCAGTGTGTGGGGCCAGGCCCATGGCCCTGGTTGGGTCTGGACAGACTGGGTAAGAGTTCAACTGTAGCAGGGCCTGATAACTAGATAACCCGTTTTTGGGGTTGGCCCACTTTATATCTTCGTAGTTCACCCCCAGTGACCTAAGAATCAGCTCCAACAACTTCTCAGATAGTCCTTTCATTTCCTTTTGGTACATCTCCATCACACTACTGAAAAGGGCAAAAGAACAATAATCTCAGACTCATTTGAATGATTTCTGCTGTGAAATACCCAAAATGCAAAAAAAAAAAAAAAAAAAAAAAAAAAAAAAGTAACAACTATACAATGGAATGTTGTGGATTTAAACTTTAAAGCTTTCAGAAAATATGATGTTAGGGTGTGGAATTGGTTACAGTAGTGCTTGAATGGTAATGAGAATGGGAATAGGCATAGAAATGATAATGGAATACAAAAAAAAAAAAAAAAAAGACCTTGATTCTTTAGAAAGAATTTTACAAGTACCATGGAATAAAAATAAAATAACTTCATTTGGACAAAATTAATTATCACAACTCTAAAAATACAACTATAACTAATTTAACAATAATACTTGTACCAATCAATGAATACTGCATGTCTGCATCAATGACTAATTATAAATTAGGCTTACATGAAATGACAAAAGACAAAAGCTATCCCAGAGGTTTAAAATCCTCTAACAACTTTTTTAAAACTCTCCATGGCATTAAGTGTGCTTGATCATGTTTGTCGGTTGTCAGTGATTTACTTTATAAGTTATTTTTAAATTCAGTGATCACTAATATTTAAGTGTCGACTAAATATAGAGTATTGTTATTGCTTTTATACAATATCGTATGAAATAAATTATGACAAACTAGATCTCATCTAATTTAATGCCACAATTGAAACATGCATTAAAACATGAATATCATCATGAGAAAAGGGTTAGGAGAATAATAGCCAACAAGTGATATCTAAATTATATATATACTAGGAGCTCTTTTGCAGCTAGAAAACTACATTAAATTAATAAAAAAACCGAATCATACGTAAATGTTTCGAACTTTTGAGAAGCTTATAAATTCATTTGCAGTACTTTCTGGATGGGTTAATAAGTCATGCACATATTCACCAACAAGAGATATATGATCATGAGGCGAAACCTGTCGTTAGCCTCCGCCTTGCTAATAGAGATGTCGTGGGCATTATATTTAGTGACCGTATTTTATATTTAATATTGGCAAAAAGACAATTACATGTGTGGCTATATTACACATCCGACTGAATAACCCTATTCCTATGCACCAACCTGTTCTTCATCGGTGTTACGGTTGCAGACAAGCCGATATTTAGATAATCATCTTCGATGTAAAGAACTGTATATTGAGTATAAATCCATCACCCTTTTTATTTTATTATTATTATTATTATTTTTTGCTGAAGTATAAATCCATCACTTGAATAATATATAGTTGATAATATATATAGACAAAGTCTTAAGTCCGGAACCCATACAATTTGACAAATATATATATATATATGCGTGTAATGTTTGATATGCTTAAATGCAACACTCAATGTTAGATTTATATGTTAGACTATATTTTAAAATGATATATATAGATTAAAGTATACTGAGTATTACACATACGAATAGACAATGTTACTCTCAAATATGAAAAAGTTACCATACTGATTAAGATGTCAGACTTGAGATATTATATATATATATATATATATATTATCATTTATGAGTGATTTGTTGAAATGGGATTTTTACGTACTATTGAAAAATGCCAAATTTTTTAGACTGGAAAAAAGACTGTTTTTTTATAAACCTTGATATTTTAGTCAAGGTAATGCTAACGACAAATTGTGGATCTTATTCTATTAGGATATTTTTTAGGACAAACAATCTATTGATTGTATTAATCGTCGGTACTGATAAGGGATAAATTATAAATATTAGTTCTTTGATTTCATGTGTACAGAGAGAAAAGGCTGCGTCAACCGCCGTTTAAATGCTACGTGAAAGACACTGCATGGTGATGCATGCCTCTGTCCTAAAATTTCATTTTTGTTTGTGTCTCTATTTTGTCGTTGGTTCTCTGGTTTTTTTTTTTTTAATTTAAAAATTAGTACATATTATGAAATTTCAAATCAAGAATGCATGCATGACATGTATTATATTGTAAGGACCCCTACAGTTAGCGTAGTCTACACCAGTGACAACCCGCCACATGGCAGCCCATATTCATGCAATTCATTGAAAGTAACGAAGTTTTCACAATTACCATTTTGCCATCACTATTAAACACAATAAATAAATAAAAAGAGAGATTTTCAAGATAAGTTTGAAAAAATAAACTATTAGTAGATCAAATCTGTAAAAATATTATCTGTCCTTTATACATTTTCAGTTTTAATGTGAGTTTAATAAAATCTAAGAGGCCTTTGTAAAAATTACTCAATATGAAAGCTTTATTAATAAAATAACTTTTTAAAAATTTTTATTTATAAAATAATTACGGAACGACCAGTTTTTACAAAGAACGATCGGATGGTCGTTCTTCATAAAAAGTAAAAAATGTCATTTTACCAATTTCATTTTGTTAGATAGTCATTCTAACAAATTCATTAAAAGTAACGAAGTTTTCACAATTACCATTTTGCCATCATTATTCCACACAATCCAAAAAAAGAGAGATTTTCAAGATAAATTTGAAAAAATAAACTATTAGTAGATCTCTGTTTATAGCTATCAAATCTGTAAAAATATTATCTGTTTTGTGTACATTTTTAATTTTAATGTGATTTTAATAAAATTTAACAGTAATAAATATATCCCTAACTTATAATGTCCAAAAAAAAAAAGAAAAAGAAAATAGCTCGGTAGCCTTTTGAGTTTTGAGGTAATTTTAGTTTATTTATTTATCTATCTATCTTTTGGAATAAATGTGATTTTTACCATAAAACCGCAATATCAAACATATATGCCGCAAACTAGCCCAAAAAAAAAAAAAAAAAAAAAAAAACAATGTATGCCGTGAAAAATAGCATGATAAAAAATGTGTGAATTTAACATGTGTGGAATTATATTAAATATGTTTCCGAAAAGACAGAAACGAAATGACACTAATAACTTTCTACATTTACGCGTACCAGAATTGGCGACAGTCTTCATGTGGCCAAAGTTGGCGAGCGTATTCCTCCGGGGACCCTGTCATGGAGAACCCCTCCGACCACATCATCTTCGGAAAGAACTTAGAAATGGGCACCAACCCGTACCCGGTAACGCTCTCGGCGGATCGAACCACCCGGAGTTTCCGTTCCGCCGGCAGAGCAAAAAACCGACGGCTTTGGCTCTCCACCTCCTTGAGATGGTCATAGGGCACGCCGTGGTTGGTGACTTGAAAAGCTCCCCATCTCTCACAGGCCTGTCGGATCAGAGAGACCGCATTCGGGTCGAAAAGGTCGATAACGGGTACCGAATGATCATCGCCCGTGAACGACGGGTCGGCCGAGGTGCAAGGTGTCCAAGTGTGGGAATCGGGCAATGTAGGGACAGAGTTGAAGTCTAATGGGACGATGTTGGTGGGGTTGATAGGGTTGGCTATTTTGAGGGATATTTCTGAGTTTAAGGATTTCATGATCATGACAATATACTATGCTCTTGGGCAATATAATATTCAAGAACTAATTCTTCTTCTTTGTAATTATATATGACAGCGATGTATCTATATATATTTACAAGACTTGCATGTTTTTGGAATGGTTAAGAAATCGTTTGGAACTTTTTTTTTAACCTTTTTGGACACGTTTTTGGCCTTATATGCAAAGTGTGGGAATTTCGGATTGGCCTTAATCTTTTTCCTTTTTTTTTTTTTGATGAGTCATTTATGTGTGTGTGGATTTGCATGCATTTAAGGGAGAAGATGTAGTGGCCACCTAAGGTTATGAAAGGCCATTTGTTAGGGTGAGCGTTTCGAAGTAAAATACCCGACTTTTCTTTCGTCCTTATTTTGGAACAAATCAAACCCAAAGTTATAGGTTTAGATCCTTTTGACGATTGTCCCTTGTATTTTTATATTTTATATTTTATTTTTAAAATAGGATTGTCCACTTGTACTTTTGTGTAAGGTAACTGTTGAATTTACAGCCATACATACGTTTTCTTCCGTTTTTCGGCCTTAAATTATTATTATTATTTGAAAAAAGTGAGAAACGTGTGTATGGCTTTATTTGAATTAATTTGGCGTTTCTTGCCTTAATTGGCAATATTTGGATAAACATATTGCCAATTGTGATTAGATTTTTCACCAAATTTGGTTGGAGGAGTTATCCATTGGAGTTTATTACATATTTGGCTAATCAAATTATGGAAACAATATGAATGCTTGTTATCATTTATCAATAAAAGCCATACTCGAAATTGATCATAGTGAATTAGATAGTTAACCAAAAAAAAAAAAAAAAAGATCATGACAATTGATGAGCATTGAATTTGAAAATCTTATTAAATACAATTTTGGATGGGTAACCTATTATATTGACAGGTTGACATAGCATTTTAAGTACTTTTTTATTTAAATAAATTGTATATTATAATTCATTTTTTTATTTTAGAATCTTATTCTTAAGGTAAGACATCTACTGGAAATGCAAACTTGAAATGCAAACTTAAGCCTAAATGACATAAGACATAGGCATCTACTGGAAATGCATAAGACATCTACTGGAAATGCAAACTTGTATTAGCCTAAGAGTTGTTTTTGTCTTCTGATCGATGTTAACTTTTGTCTCCAAAAAGAATTCTTTGGGATTGTATATCATTATTCATTAATTTACTACTAGTCTTAGCAATTAATTTAAAATAACAATTATACAAATTGTTTAAAATAGAAAGAAAAAAGTAAAAATAAAAATAAAAACAAAATAAATGAAAACAAAAATGGAAAAAAGATCTGAAGCAAAGACCAAAAAAAACAAGATTTTAATTTATTTCGTTGTATTTTAAATTAGTTCTATTTGTTTTATTTAATTTAGTGTGATTTTATTTTATTTGAGTGTATTTTTGTTTAATTTATTTTTTATTTGAATTATTTATAGCATTTCTATCTGAATAGTATCAAAAATCGGACACAGTTGCTGCGTGCGCACCATCCGCGAACAGGGGCGTGTCCGATAGGGGTAATGAGACAAGTGTGTCAATGTCTTAGCAGGTGGGCCCCGCCACGTTCTCCCTCCGACCGATAAGCAGGTGACACGTGGCAATGGCAGTAGACCACTCAAGAAATTATGTGGGATTCTTTGTTGTGTGCTTACGTGAGCTCATTATTTTCAGTTAATGTGTTACTGACATGTGGCCACTTATTTGAGCGAACTAATCGCAGAGTGCCATGTGCGTCCCACTAAGGGAATGCCTGATCGGTGACTGACACATGGCGGTTTCAGTGAAACTAACTTACCGCACTAAATCCCTTTCCCTAACAGTAAATAAAAAAAAACGTTGAACGAATCGTTTCGTTTAGCAACTAAAAAAAATCCGTTCATCTTTTGTAGGATGTATAGATGACGAATTTTGAAATTATTTCATCCACATTTTTAATATAAAGGAAATAACATCACTTAAACATTCAAGCCGGTAGAGGCTCAACGGCTCAACTATAAAGTCACTTAGACAATTGCTTAAGACTTCAGGTTCAGTCAAGGCCCCAAATGTTTTTAAAACATATTATGATCACTCTATTAATTAATTAAATTTCTTTAAAAATAATTAAAAAAAAAGAACTATGGGGTAAAAAGTTTGAAAGAGCACAATAACTCTTGAAAGTTGGAACGAGAGTAGCCAAATTTTTAGACATTACTATACTTAAAAATAAATAAAAATATTCATATTGCTCTTTTTTCATCTTTCTTTTGTTTAATAAAATAACTTAATTTATAGTTTTTTTCATTAATCAAACGGCTCTTATAGTTATATTTAAAAAAATGCCCTAATTTTAATTATGAATAGATAGTATTAATTTATCTTTTTATTTTATGCTGAAAGAAACTTTAATTGAAAGGTTTTTTTATTTTGAAATTTATAAGAAAAATAAATCTGTATCTGCTATAATTCAACTATAAATTAGAAATGATATAAAGATCGAATCTAAATTTTATATATAAAAAAAGATGTGTTTTAGTCAACTGATAGTGCTAAAAAGGAGTTTTTCTTCTAAAAAAAAAAAGATTTAGCACATATTTTAATTGATATTTTTCATTTTTAATAAGGCCTCTTAAAACTTCTTTCATCTTGGTACCATCGTTCCTCATCTTTATATATAATTGGATGTTAGGAAGTTATGCATGAAATGTACTACAAGCCAATCCTTTTTCTCTACACGGTAATAATATATATTCAACTTTATACCAATTATGAACGACCAGTTGTTTATACGAATACTGAAAAACGACTTCTCATTCTTAAAATACAATCTTATCTAACCGTTACGACTCACCACATGAGTAACTTTACTATTTTAACAATTGATAAAGTAACTTTACTATTTTAACCTCTCAAGATATTCATAAAATATAAAAAAATATTAAATTATTCCAATCATATTACGAAATTATCCTCCACAAAGATTAATTAATACAATATTTTTGTATTTTGGAACCGCGAAAAGGTGAAAGACACTGATATGCACCGGCAAATACCGGTTCTTTTGATTAAAAAAAAAAAAAAAAAAAAAAAAAAACTGGTTCCTTTTGCATCAAATAACCCCACGTGTTCAATGGAAACGGGGAAATCTTCCCCACAAAAGTAGCAGAGGTTTACAGAAAAGACCTTTAAGAAGTAAGTAAAGGTAAGAGAAAGGTATGGAATTTACACAATTTGTAGAATTATTAAATCTATTAAATTATTTAGTTGTACATGGTAAAAAGTGTACTATAAGTGTGGCACGCATGGTGTACCGTATTGTATTATATAATTTTTATACATATAATGTGTGATTTGTAGTCGATTACATTGTACTGTGTTTACCATCATATTGTCTTTATGTATTAATTTATAATTAAATAAAATTTAAGTCTAAGTATAACATAACTCGGTTGCAATCTCAATCTAAACCTAACATTAAGAGCGGGCAATGAAGAAGGTAAAATTGTTCAATATGGGTATTTTTGTTAAAAAAATTTTAAAATGGGGACAAACTATAATTTTTTAAAAATTGAGGGGTAAAATTATAATTTTAAAAAGTTTTAGGGTCAAAATATACTTTTAAAAAAGTTAAGAGGTCAAAAAATAATTTTTAAAAATTTAAGGGGTCAAAATATAATTTTTTAAATAATTGAGGGGTCAAAGTATAATTTTTGAAAAATGTAGACCCAATATTGCTTCAATCTCGAAATTTAATCTCAGCGTCAGTCCCGAAACCCGATCCCGACCCTTGATATTTGTAAAATATTTTATATATTTTATAAAGTTAAATTGCATAATACGATGTAATACAATGGTTTTTATTCGTCTTAGATATCACACTATGTATTGTATTAAATTTGAATTTCATATTAAACTATATGTTAGGGTCAAAATTAACATCACGATCATCACTGTACACGTGAACATTTAGAGAAATAGGTCAACTCGAATCGACTAAAATCTATTGGAGGCAAGATCTAGTGGAAGCGACTGGAAAAGTCTGACGACAAGAGACCCGCGGGAATACCTCAAATATTTCAAGAAAGAAGGATCTTCGAAAACCACGAAATCTAAATCAGCCGAATCTGACATTAAAGACAATAATTGAAGACGAAACAAGAAAAAAGAATGTCAACTAAGCAAAAGGGAAACTATCCAATCTAAAAGAAAAGAAAACTAGAAGACCTTCTCCTATAAATAGGGGATGGAGATCACAAATTAGACATCTTAGAGCCCCCACATTACGTTAAGACTCTCTCTCTAAATCTCCTTCTCCTCATTCTCTTCCACTCTTCATTATAATTGTACTTTTTACAAGAGATAGTAAAACTCCCGATATCCTATAGTGAATGGAGCATTCACATTAAAGGTGAACAACTATAAATTCATATGTTCATTTATTTTTGTGCAATTCAAGTTCTCGTTTTAACAATCTATAACTTTCAAGAGCAAGAAAGTAGATTTTACCAAATAGTTCAAGTGATGAAAAAAAAAATCACAATTAACAACACAAAGAACAAGAATTGAAGAAGCAACAATCAAAAAGGAACAAAATTTGATTGAGCAAATAACAAGCACAAACCAAAAAAATCAAATGCCATCAAAAGTCTTCTTTGACAAATTTATCAATATTTTAGGCACTATATATATATATATATGAGTGTAATTTTAATGGTTATTTTGATATTTACTCATCAACGAGTATAATTATTTTAACCGTAAAATATTGATCTAACGGTTATAATAAATTAAATAGTTGACGGAAAAATTTATAATAATTAATAAAATTATATTCTTATCACACGAAATTATTAAATTTTTACATTTAATAAGTAACCAACGATAGAAAACGTAATCATTGAAAATATATAGTTTTTCTCTTTAAACCATGTTGTAATGCTTAATTCATAGTATGAACGAGTACTTCGGTGATTTTACATAAAATTTGGCATCTAAGAA